AAATCTCCCTGCTGCAGCTATTTATAAGAAAGTCGCCCCTTTCTGAATATATAGGAAAGTTGAGGTTGATAATTGTGATTTCGGGTTTTATTTGTTATCTGAGACTATAAGACTGTTTTTGTCCCATTCGGAAAACTGTTTTTTGTTGTTTTTTTTATTCCATTTACAATTCGTGTAGATCTCTGAAACTAACAGATAGTGTTCTGAATATTGATTTTTCCCTTGTTTTTAACAATTATTACTTATAACTATTGCGAAAGTTGTGGACAGACCGTAAGTTGTGTAAATCTTTAACGTGCACGAAACTGAAAACCGGCCCTAATTATGTGAATTCCCAACCGATTTTCGAAAAAGTTATATTTTTGTACAGCTTGGGATATTGCGGATGCGATAACGGCCGAATTGAAATACCATGTCGTTCTCATTTTTTCTTCAAAATTTGAAAATTTACTAAAATTGTTATTTCTTGGAATTTTGAGTTTTCGCTTACATATTTGGATTGGCGGCGTCTGTTCGATTCTACCGATCTAGGATTATCATGATGTGAATTGTTCAACTCTATTTTTCAATTACCTTCTCTATCGCAATGCGAATACAAAGAACGTGTCAATATCTGAGTTATGTTAGTGTATTGGGTTGTTTTTTTGGGGGGTGGGGGGTGGGGGAGTGGTGAGGAAAGTCTTTTGTCATGCATCTGGCGATCGTGTGACGCCTTGGCACGGTGAAAGCCTTCAGTCTTGCAAGCAAGTCTAGTGATGATTGTTTTTACTTGAGTATATCTCAGAAACTACTTATCGAATCAATCCGATATCCTTGGTTTTACATAGGAAAGATGGCATGACTTAGAAATTAAATGTATTTCGAACATTCTGCGACAATGTGAAATGTCCGAAATCACCAAAGTTGTTTTTTTTCTAAATATTGCCATAATATTAACAATAATTGCCGGATTTTAACATTTCATACATTTTGACATAGCCAGAGACAAGGAACATAGCTACCTGTCTTTAGATATTTGATTTTGGATGAAACTTCGGAAATATTAGGCGCGAAATTTTGAAAATTTAAATTTTTACAAAAAATTTTTTTATTAATGAATATGTCTTTATGGTATTTTATCCAGGGCTATAGGGTCATCTGATTTGAGCAAAAATATGAACAATTTTTGACTCGGTAATTTGCGTTAGTCGCCATTGGCTAATTCAGTTTTTCGGTCCTAAATTGATTATTTAGTGTTCGATTTGTTTAAAACAAAATTCATATGCTCCTTTTTCCAAAATGTCATTTTTTTGTTACCGATAGAGTTTTCTGTCGGCATCGGAAGCGACATAATTTTAACAAAAACTATAATGTTGACAGTTCGGTACCACAAATATTATTTTTTCAAAATTTGATATTACCAAAAGGATGCGCCATGTGCACAAAACATCGGATTCGGTTTTCTTAATTTCGATTTCGCTTTCGGGCTATTTCGATTAACAGGTGAAAAACGGTATAAAATTAAGCTATTTACAACTTATTGAAAAAAGGTGAAAAAATGAGCTATTCACAACCCATTCAGACTTTTCATATTTTAATATTTTTTTTCGCAACTTTCATAAACTCGTAGCACTAATCCATACGAAGAGAATGTATGTGAAAATTAGTTTGTAATATGAGCGGTTGCCGAGAAATAGGCAATTTTTTCACGCGTCACTTTTCACTTTTTTTGCCTGTAAAGGAGTCAATTATTATTCGATTTTCATTTTTTTACCATTCGATGCCTTGTGCTAACTTTGACTAGGTCAAACCAATTTAACATTTTCACAAAATTCATATGCTCCTTTTTCCAAAATGTCATTTTTTTGTTACCGATAGAGTTTTCTGTCGGCATCGGAAGCGACATAATTTTAACAAAAACTATAATGTTGACAGTTCGGTACCACAAATATTATTTTTTCAAAATTTGATATTACCAAAAGGATGAGCCATGTGCACAAAACATCGGACTCGGTTTTCTTAATTTCGATTTCGCTTTCGGGCTATTTCGATTAACAGGTGAAAAACGGTATAAAATTAAGCTATTTACAACCCTTTTTTTGCCTGTAAAGGAGTCAATTATTATTCGATTTTCATTTTTTTACCATTCGATGCCTTGTGCTAACTTTGACTAGGTCAAACCAATTTAACATTTTCACCGTCAGCGGAAATGACATCATTTGGGAAAAAAATGTATTTTTAGCCTTTAAAAGAGATATTTTATTCAAATGATTCTTATTTGTAATCATTTTAAAATTATGATATTTGATTCAAATCAACAAATAGGATAAACGCGTACGATCATACAGATACCACAAAAGGTTCCTAACCTGTACGGTTGCAGAGAAATAGACCATTTCCTACAAGTCACCATGTGATACCTTATGCCACTTATGATTTCATAGAACTAATTTAACATTTTCATTATCCCCGGAAGTAATGTCATTTTGGCAAAATAATGTATTTTTGGCCCTCAAATCAAACATTTTTTTTGAAGTGAGTTATACTTATTATTATGATCTATATGATCAATACGATCATATAGATGTCCAAAAATTGCTTCTAGCATCTTCCCTTGTCGAGAAACAACCAATTTTCTCAGGATCACTTCTTAAGACTTAAAATTTTTATCCTTTTTAATTTCCCATTAGAATGTCAGGTAACTTAGCGGTAAGTTAGTAACAGGATCACTTTTTTTTACACGTGTAACACATGGTAACAAATGTATAAATAGGATTGATATTGCTGGATTTGGTTGATTCTGCGTCCATTTTATAACAAGTCTGCAATGTTTATGTGGAAATCTGTTTATCGGTTTCATTGGTACTGGAAGTGATATGAGTTCAAGGGTAACGTGGCACTTAAAGTGATATAAGTTCAAGGGTAACGTAGCACCGGTGAAACCCGTCATTACTGCTCCGCAGTTCTAGTTTTTGTTGTTTTTAGTTATTTCCACATCTACTGAACAATATATATTCAGCCTCTACATGCCAGTCTCATTCTAGGATTTCCTTTTTTTAAAGTTGTGTATGTACAGTAGGCCAATTCTTAACTGCAGGTAGCGTAATGATCCAGAATCTGAATCCTCATAGAAATTTAATTTTATTTGTAAGACATGCTTACAATCATTAGATAACTTTGGCGGCGGTACTGAAACGTCACTATTCGACTCGTTCTTACATATCCTACCCATGGTGATAATATAATTTGAAATAAAATAATAATATACAATCGGGAAAACCTGTATATTTTATATGCGGTATGAAGCCACAGTAAATAAAATTCAGTTATCAATGCGCGCATTCTAATGTGACCTTGAGAGTAGAGACTACATCAACTTCCGAGGCGAAAAGTCGACCGCACGACAGCAAACCAAAATCATAGGTCGCTAATATCGGATCACGCGGCTAAGTGGGTAAAACGCTGGTTCGCTAGCCTGGAGATCGGGTGTTCGATCCCTGCATTGGCAAAGAAAGTTCATTCAGATTTTCCGGCGTGGTTTCCCCTTGTCAGTGATGCAGGATGGAGGGCCTAACAAGGATAGCTGTCTAGTCGTTCGGATGGGACGAAAAATCGAGGACCCGTGTACACATTTGCGTGCACGTAAAAGATCCCTTGGCAGTAGGTCGTAGCGCCGCTGCCCGGGCAAAATTTCCCTCCTAGCACACTGTATGCCGTCTTCATTAGCCCAGGTTAGGAGCAGAACAGTAGGACGTTAAATCACATTTCATTTCATTTCATTTCAATACCAGACTTTATCATACAGACTATTTTGTTAACTCGCATTGCATTTATTAAGACTACAACCACTTCCGAGGCGAAACTCCGAAAGTCGTCAGAACGACAACGAGCCAAAATGATAGGTCGCTAATAGCGCGTGTGTTTATTTCCTAATTTCTACTTTTCGAGTTGCAGTATGGCTTGGTATGCATATTCGCGCCTCCTTACTGACATCAATAAATACAAAGGTAGACAAGAAGGTACACAAGCCAAAATGCAAGTCGAAAATAAGAAATTAGGAAAAAACGAGGGGCGCTATTATCGCAGTGTATTATTTCTTAATTTCCTATTTTCGAGTCGATTTTGGCGTGCTGTCACCTCACATTTTGTCGTAACTTCTACTTTTCGACTTTCGTGTTTTGAAGGGACGAAAAGTTGAAAATATGAATGGTAAAGGATGAAAACAAAGTTTGAAAAGGTTAAATCACTCAAAAATCTAACTTAGCAATACTTAAATTGTTCATGAATAATGTTTTTAAAGGTAAGTCTTATCATGTATGGTGAAATTTTCTACACATCTATCAACTCTTAAAGCCGTAAAAATCTATTGTTTACAGTAATATTTATATTTTTGTTTGTTACATCGACTTTAGAAAATTCCGTTCATTATTTTTTAAATTTGATACATGTATATTATTAACAATTATTAGTACTGACAGGCGTTTGATAAAAAAAAACATCAAGCAAACCCAGTTCCGCATTTAATCTTTGTCTGTACTCTTGTCAGTGGTGCAGGACGGAGGGACTGACAAGGCAGCTATCTAGTCATTCGGATGGTACGAAAAACCGAGTTACATTGTACACATTGACTCCTTTGCATTTGGAATTCGATATAAGAGTTGATCGTAGCGCCGCTGTCCAGTCAAAATTTCCGCCATAGCACACTGTATGGCGTTTTACCGTCTTTATTAGCCCAGTCGGGGCAGACAGCAGTCACAGCAACCCTCCCCCAGGGTTTTTTTTATTCAATTTTCAATGTTTTAGGCAAGGCACCAGTGGTTGCAACAATCTGAATAATATCCAACTACAACTTCCGTAAAGTGGAAGAGAGGATTGAATCGATTGGGTGATGAAAAGTGGAAGAGAGGATTGAATCGATTGGGTGATGAAAATATACAAATTCCGTCAAAACCCCGGACTATTGCCTTAGGAATATGGTATTTCCCTGCTGTAACACCCACTCTAATCTTTTTTTGTTACAGCTGAATGTGTTCCTGATCAACCATGGTGTATCGGAATCGAAAAGCTCTATTGTAATACTTTCAGCCGTTATAATACAACCTGTCCTTATGAGTGCGGTGTATGCAGGGGTAAGCACGTGCATGTCTCTTCTTATTTATTAAAGGGTGGGAGACGGGGGAGGGGGTGGTAAGGCATGCGTGTTGTTATATCATAAGGTCTGCCATTCAGTCAAGTGATATGGTTTCGATTCCCCGCTTGTACGTGACTGTCCAAAATCGGCGGTTCCTCGAAAAGTTAAAGACCCCTGCGCACAAGCGTAATATTCAGATAAAATTGAACCATATGTTAGTCCCGAAAGAACTACAGGAATTTTTCCGGCGACCTTCACAAATCCAAAAAGGTTCTATTCGTTGCGCGATAATGTTGCAGTAACATCTCAACGAAACTCTTGATCTACGATGTTTCGTCAAATGTTCAATAACAGACCAACATTGACGGAAAGCATTCATACATAGTAATCCTGGTACCTTTTGTTTCCATTTCCGTGTAGCTTGATCACAAGGGTACTTCACTACAAGTATCCTCTGATTTGGTACAATACTTATTATTAAATTAACCTGGATAATCCCAATGTAAGGCAGTTTAAGTCCATTTGCTGCACGAATAGTGAGAAATGAAGTTTCATGAAGGTCATCTGAAGATTTCAAATATTTCTCATAAAATGACTGTACGATGGTTGAAACTTGAGATCCGGTATCAAATAATAATCTGCAAGTTGCATCCTCATTTTCAACTTCAACCTCATGTAGTTTCGTCCTTTTTCTATATTTTAGTGGAGCCAGTTAAAGTGTAACGGGGCACCGGTGAAACCCGTCATCACTGCATCGCAGTTCTTGGCGGTTATACATGATCACAATGACGGTTTTGAAAACCTATTATTTACTTTTTTCTGGAAGTTAAATTTCTGGGTCCCGGCGACTGCAGTTCGGGTTTGCACGAGTGGGCTTTCGGTTTCAAACCCATATAAATAGGGTTATAGCGGGACACTTGCAATGACAGGAATAAACGCGTTTGTGGCCGTCTAATTTTCAAAATTGTATCGAAGGGTGTGGGGGGGGGGGCATAAATCCCGTCGCCATGCCTCGAGCCTTTGGTGCAGGATTTATTTTCAGGTAATCCATTCCTTCTCCGAAAGCCCCGTCGCCACTCCCGGCATCAAAACTTAATGATCGAGCCAGTACGCCTGTTAACATGCCACATGAGAGAACATAATCCTTGTTTCGAATTTGATATTAATTGATCTTATATTTATATTTGATAACGATGTTTTTTGTCTAATATTCGAATTAATAGTCGCCTGACGGGGTTCCGATTCCCGGATTGTACGCGACAAGGAGTAGGGTCGCCTGTCTAACATCGTGGGTTTTCTCCAGGTCCTCCGATTTCTTTCCAGGTAAAGACGCCGACGCGACAAACGAATTATTGAATTAAAATTGAACCATGTTATAGTCCCGAAATGACCTAGTTTGTGTCGAGTCGACGTTAAACCTCTCTCTCCAACTACACCAACTTAAATTTTAAATCACCATCAAAAAACTACACAGTTCGATTGTTAATGTATTATTAATAATTCAAAAATATCTTTTCTTCGTACATTGTTCAACATACATTATGGTGCGCAATATATTTATTTCTCTATGAGACTAACAATATTATATGCCATTATAATCACACCGATGTCCGCTGGTACTGGGTGTAGGTGTAGAAAAGAAATCAATATTAATGTTTATATCGAGCTCAACTTGAAACAAATCACCTCAAACGTCGATCTTTTCATATCCAGGCAAACTTGTATTTTAATTGTCACTGTAGTATTATAAACAGTAGTATTAAGAAATTTGAGGGCGTGCAACATATTGTTAAAAAAAAAAATAATAACTAAGCGTACACATGTTAAATTCAATGTCCATTTGCGCGTACAAAAGAAAACGAAGAGTCCCGAATACGGAAATTAAAAATTTGTGTCACTAGTTTCAGATCAATTTGTTGAGATTTTAATGTGACCAGGTACCTTAACTCTTTGTGACAAAAAAACCTGCGGCTGCAACGCGACATGGCTGGTCAAAATATCAACAAGATGAAAACAAACTTTCAAAAGGTTAAATCATTTAAAAATCTAACTTAGCAATACTTTAATTGTTCATGAATAATGTTTTAAAGGTAAGTCTTATCAGGTATGTTAAAATAAGCCTCAAATATAGTTTGTTTATTGCATATTTTTCTGTACGTGGATCACCCTGTATTGCTGTAAATACTAATACTTTTTTTTAATTTGCTTTATTATTAACAGTTATTAGTACTGAAAGACGTTTGATAAAAAAGACATCAAGCAAACCCAGTTCCGCATAGAATCTTTGTCTGTACCCTTGTCAGTGGTTCAGGACGAAGGGACTGACAAGGCAGCTGTCTAGTCGTTCAGATAGGACGAAAAACCGAGTTACCGTGTACACATTGACTCCTTGGCATTTGGAATTCGATATAAGAGTAGGCCGTAGCGCCGCTGTCCGGGCAAAATGTCTGTCATAGCACACTGTACGGCGTTTGCCCGTCTTTATTAGCCCCAGTCAGGGCAGACAGTAGTCACAGCAACCCTCCCCCAGGGTTTTTTTATCAATTATTGTCCAATGTTTTAGGGAAGGCACCATTGGTTGCAACAATCTGAATAGTATCCAACTACAACTTCCGTAGAATAGAGGAGAGGATTGAATTGATTTGGGTGATGAAAACAGACAATCTCCGTCAAAACCCCGGACTATTGCCTCAGGAGTATGGTATTTCCCTGATGTAACACCCACTCTAATCTGTTTTTGTTACAGCTGAATGTGATCCTGATGAAACATGGTGTAGTCAAATCGAAAAACTCCAATGTAATAGCTCCATACGCGTTAAAAAATACTGTCCTTATAAATGCGGTGTATGCCAGGGTAAGCATATTAATGTCTCTTCTTATTTATTAAAGGGTGGTAAGGCATGCGTGTTGTTATATCATAAGGTCTACCATTCTCTCAAGTGATATGGTTTCGATTCCCCGCTTGTACGTGACTAGGAGTAGAGTGACTGTCCAAAATCAGGGGTTCCTCCAAATGTTAAAGACCCCTGCCCACAAGCTTAATATTCAGATAAAATTGAACCATATGTTAGTCCCGAAAGAACTACAGGAGTTTTTCCGGCGACCTTCACTAATCCAAAAAGGTTCTTTTCGTTGTGCGATAACGTTGCAGTAACATCTCAACGAAAATTCTTGAGCTACGATGTTTCGTCAAATGTTCAATAACAGACCAACAATGACGGAAAGCATTCATACATAGTAATCCTGGTACCTCTTGTTTCCATTTCCGTGTAGCTGGATCACAAGGGTACTTCACTACAAATATACAACTGGCGGTAGTTTTTACTTTGATGTCCATAGCAGTTATATCTCATAACAACCTGTCATGACATCATCATAGGTTGATATATTCGTTCATATCAACCGCTGATGACGTCATGACAGGTTGATATTTCATAACAACCGCTAATGACATCATCTCAGGTCAATATATTCGGCTCATATCAACCGCTGATGACGTAGATGATCGAAATAATACAAAAAAACACAGAAATAAATTTTTATTCTTTTGACAATTAAAAATTTGTTATGGTACAGTTTCTAACATTCAGGACCGAAATAGACGGCGTACTTATCGACATACATGTATTTAGATCGGTTATCCATGTCTAAGACATCTTTCAGAATTTTCTTTTCGTCCACATTGCGATTATTTCTCCAAACACTACAAGACTTGAAAGTATTTATCGCCCAAGAGTTCCTTTGTAAAGTATTTTTGGGTACAGTCCACTTAAAACAGTCGGTCAAATCCTTCTCTGAACATACCGAAAACCTTCAATCATGGTTCACTGTCAGAATTCTTGGAAAATAATGCCTTTTGGTCCAAATTTTCTGCAGGCTTTGGATAGATCCTCATCGATATTTGCATTCACATCTATTCCATCGTCAATATGTTGGCTAAAAAGGATTGATTATTCGTCTGACTTCGTATTACTATCCATTTTGTTTTTGCTTTCAATTCAATAGTCCAAAATGGCGACGTATAAACAAAAACATGCACGTGATTACTTCGTTAATTTTCGCTATTTGGCGGAAACTATCGAGCAATTATCCAATCGTTGTTGCCTATTAAATTTAAGGGTGAAATGGCGTTGTATATGTCGGATATATCCTATACGTAACCTCTGATTTGGTGCAATGCTTATTGTTAAATTTACCTGGATAATCCCAATGTAAGGCAGTTTAAGTCTATTTGCTACACGAACAGTGAGAAATGAAGTTTCATGAAGGTCATCTGAAGATTTCAAATATTTCTCATAAAATGACTGTACGATGGTTGAAACTTGGATCCGGTATCAAATAAAAATCTGCAAGTTGCATCCTTATTTTCAACTTCAACCTCATGTAGTTTCGTCCTTTTTCTATATTTTAGTGGCGCCAGTTAAAGTGTAACGGGGCACCGCGGTGAAACCCGTCATCACTGCATCGCAGTTCTTGGCGGTTATATTTGATCACAGTGACGGTTTTGAAAACTTATTATTTATTTTTTTTTCTGGAAGTTACATTTCTGGGTCCCGGCGACTGCAGTTCAGGTCTGCATCGAGTGGGCTTTCGGTTTCAAAAACATATAAATAGGGTTATAGCGGGACACATTTTCAAAATTGTATCGAAGGGTGGGGGCATATATCTCGTCGCCATGCCTCAAGCCTATGGGGCAGGATTTATTTTCAGGTAATCCATCCCTTCCCCGAAAGCCCCGTCGCACCCCCGGCATCAAACCTTAATGTTCGAGTCCGTGCGCCTATTAACATGCCACCCGAGAGAACATAATCCTTGTTTCGAATTTGATGTTAATTGATCTTAACTCCAGTATGTCAAAGGGGAATTATGTATTTATAACGTGAATGTTCATCTTCGACCATAAAGCTTCTGAGAGAATAATTTTATTATTCTGTTCTCTTTGGCTTCCAGCAACTGTTCATTGATGAAATCCAATTTATATATTGGTGCTACCTTGAATTTGCCCTTTCCACAGGTTTCTTGGCACTAATGTAAAAGTTATTTAGATATAGATTATTGCACCCAAATATTAGTATTTTGGGGGATATATATATAAGAAACAATGTATAAAACGATCTAATTCTCAATGCATTAAAATGGCCTGACGATTCGTTTGATAACAATGAAAGTACTAGACAAAAAAAATAATTTTAGTGTTTTTTTCTCTAATATTCGAATTAATAGTCGCCTGACGGGGTTTCGATTCCCGGTTTGTACGTGACAAGGAGTAGGGTCGCGTGTCCAACCTCGTGGGTTTTCTCCAGGTCCTCCGGTTTCTTCCCAGGTAAAGACGCCGACGCGACAAACGAATTATTGAATTAAAATTGAACCATGTTATAGTCCCGAAATGACCTAGTTTGTGTCGAGTTGACGTTAAACCTCTCTCTCCAACTACACCAACTTAAATTTTAAATCACCATCAAAAAACTACACAGTTCGATTGTTAATGTATTATTAATAATTCAAAAATATCTTTTCTTCGTACATTGTTCAACATACATTATGTTGCGCAATATATTCATTTCTCTATGAGACTAACAATATTATATGCCATTATAATCACACCGATGTCCGCGGGTACTGGGTGTAGAAAATAAATCAATGTTCATGTTTATATCGAGCTCAACTTTAAACAATTCATCTCAAACGTCGATCTTTTCATATCCAGGCAAACTTGTATTTTAATTGTCACTGTAGTATTATAAACAGTATTATTAAGAAATTTGAGGGCGTGCGACATATTGGTAAAAGAAACAGCAACAAATAACTAAGCGTTTGCGCATGCGTACACATGTTAAATTGAATGGCCATTTGCGTGTACAAAAGAAAACGAAGAGTCCCGAACGCGGAAATTAAAAATTTGCTTCACTAGTTTCAGATCAATTTGTTGAGATTTTAATGTGACCAGGGACCTTAACTCTTTGTGACAAAAAAAACCTGCCGCTACAACGCGGCATGGCTGGACAAAATTTCAACACGATGAAAACAAACTTTCAAAAGGTTAAGTCACTCAAAAATCTAACTTAGTAATACTTTAAGTGTTCATGAATAATGTTTTTAAAGGTAAATCTTATCATGTATGTTAAAATAAGCCTCAAATATAGTTTGTTTATTGCATATTTTTCTGTACGTGGATCACCTTGTATTGCTATAAATACTAATACTTTTTTTTTAATTTAACAGTTATTAGTACTGAAAGACGTTTGATAAAAAAGACATCAAGCAAACCGAGTTCCGCATCGAATCTTTGTCTGTACCCTTGTCAGTGGTGCAGGACGGAGGGACTGACAAGGCAGCTGTCTAGTCGTTCGGATAGGACGAAAAAACCGAGTTACCATGTACATATTGACTCCTTGGCATTTGGAATTTGATGTAAGAGTAGGCCAAAGCACCGTAGGCCGGGCAAAATTTCCGTCATAGCACACTGTATGGCGTATGCCCGTCTTTATTAGCGCAGTCGGGGCAGACAGGAGCCACAGCACCACTCCCCAGGTTTCTTTTTATCAATTGTCCAATGTTTTAGGCAAGGCACCAGTGGTTGCAACAATCTGAATAGTATCCAACTACAACTTGCGTAAAATGGAGGAGAGGATTGAATAGATTGGGTGATGAAAATAGACAAACTCCGTCAAAGCCCCGTCTATTGCCTCAGGAATATGGTATTTCCCATTTGTAACACACCCACTATAATCTGATTTTGTTACAGTTAATTGTGTTCCTGATAAATCATGGTGTAGTCGAATCGACAAAAGGTATTGTGATAGCTCCAGAAGCGTTAAAATAGACTGTCTTCATAAGTGCGGTGTATGCAAGGGTAAGCATATTAATGTCTCTTCTTATTTATTAAAGGGTGGGGGAGAGGGGTGGGGTGGTAAGGCATGCGTGTTGTTATATCATAAGGTCTGCCATTCAGTCAAGTGATATGGTTTTGATTCCCGCTTGTACGTGACTAGGAATAGAGTGACTGTCGAAAATCGGGGGTTCCTCCAAAAGTTAAAGACCCCTGCGCACAAGCGTAATATTCAGATAAACTTGAACCATATGTTAGTCCCGAAAGAACTACAGGAGTTTTTCCGGCGAACTTCACAAATCCAAGAAGGTTCTTTTCGTTGCGCGATAACATTGCAGTAACATCTCAACGAAACTCTTGATCTACGATGTTTCGTCAAATGTTCAATAACAGACCAACGACGGATAGCATTCATATTCCATTTCCGTGTAGCTGGGTCACAAGGGTACTTCACTACAAGTAACCTCTGGTTTGGTACAATTATAATACTATGGGGTCTATTTACTGTAGAGGTTAAATAAGTTCTGTAGAAGTGTTCTGGTTCATGTTTTGTCATCGTTAGCTAGTACCACTGACAACACGAAATAGGCTAACAAGAATGTGTCTGGTGGTATAAAGTCGGGCAATGACATCATAGTCTGATAATCCAAATATGGTAATCCCATGTGTTAGAATCGTGGTGCCAAATAAGTACACTGTGTTGAGATCTAGGGTAGCATCTTTGCACCTGACCAATCCGGTAAAGGAAGCACCTGGTCAATTTCCCGGGGCTCGATACATGACTCATGCACGTAACCTCTTTATAACGAACGTGCGCGGTTGAATTTCCTTTAGATATCACTGAGACCGTTCCCGGGGGAAGGTCGATTATACCAAAAGCCTCCTAGGCTGGGAAACAAACATCGTTCGGATTAGAGCACCCTGTTAAGTCGTAGGAGAGCCATATGATGTTAGGGGGTACGTCAGTAAACTTGTCCTTACGAAATGGTGGGTTAAAGAGAATAATGGTAATCGTAATCTAGTAAACACAAGCTCGGGAAAGAGAACTCATATTTCATATCATAGCTGTGTACGTAGTTTCCTGTATTATGGATGTTATAAAGATATAAAAACATAGTTAACGTAAAAAGTGTTCCAGTCCTAATTTAACATTGGAAATAGTTATCATGATGTGAAGTCGAAGAAATTCCTAGACGATAGTATCACGGGCCGTTGTCTGGAAGTTCCTGATTACACATCTGTCGGGCCGTAGTGTCACACAATGCTTCTAAATATTATTAAATTAACCTATTAACATGCCACCCGAGAGAACATAATCCTTGTCGTAATTATCCCTTCCCCATTTTACAACTTCCTTAATTGGACTGAATGATACAAATTTAGCCCTAGTTAACAGTGATTTAAGGTTTTTATATTGTCTTTTTGACGGTATAAACGTTTGTGCATCAATAAGTTTTTTTCATTTTTTTTATCTTGTTGAAGTAGTGGAAAATGTGTTTTAATTACGCTGGAAAAATTAGGATTGTGAGGATTAAAGGTGGTGGCAAATGCAATTATATTGTGATTTGTATCTTTTATCTTTACCTGCCTTAATTCCGTTAACGGTATTTTACTAGCCCTTCGAATTCCGTCATTAATTAATGTGGAGGGATATTTGCGGGGTAGCAGAAATTCTCTCAATTCCTGTAGTCTTTGAAATTTAGTTACCTTGTTAAACACGACGGTACAGATACGCCTAGCCAATTTATATTTGACAGTGGAAAAGAATTTTTTGTCAATGAAAGTATGAACTGTAAAGTAACTCATGTATTATATGTCATAAAATGTAGTGGCTGTGCCGATCTTTAAATCGGTTGCACGAACAAGTTACAAAACAGAGTAACGGTTCATAGACAACATATCAGGGAACCAAATTTAAGGAAGGTCCCTTTAAGTGAGCACCTTGATATCTTCGGTAAGGGCGAGTTCAAAATATACCGTTTCTTTAAGATGCCGTATTCAGATCCCATGAAAATGAGATTGAAGGAACAATATTTTATTGGGGTACTCCCACTGTGCCAGTTTTTAATCCCTGGATTATCGGATTTTAATTAACAGCCTTAATTGGCTTAATCAAGTGGGCCAATTTTATGGCGTAGAGGACTGTGTTCAACAGATAATTCGTTCAGCATATGGCATGTAAACTGTGTTCATCTTATTTTATCATGATAATAAGCAATTTTTTGTTAAAACTTACCTAAGTGGTGAAACCCGTTCAGAGGACACTATATATATGGAACCACTGTCAACAACATTGATCTGACAGATATCACAAGATGGCAAACGTTCAAGTAGATGTTAGTTTCATACCAAATGCTCAGGGTGGCCAAAATCTGGTGTATAGAGGGCATAAATTTAGAATTCGAACGAGGAAAGGGGATAGGGTCCATTGGAGATGCTGTAAGACTACTTGTCCATCGACCATCAATACCCTCGACAACCTGATCACCACATACAGAGATTGCCACAACCACCCGGCCAACAACGATAAGATTGCGGTGGACAAGTTCCTTGCCAACTTAAAGGATCTTATAAAGGCTGACCATCGACCAGTACCAACACTCTATCAGGAAGAACTTACAAGTAAGTTATCAAACAATTTGCATTTCAAATTAATATTCAAGCTTATATCAATTTATCATGAATTTATTTCACAAATTTATATTAATTTATTACAAGTTTATATCAATTTATTACAAGTTTATATTAAGTTATTACATGTTTATATCAATATTTATTCCATTCACCAAATGTTACATTTAGTTCTTATTTTCGTTTTTTGTTTTGTTTCAAGAGTTAGTCGAGAGGACTTCGTGCAACATGTTCCCTTATTTCACTCCGCAGAATCTTCCCTGTACCGATCGAGAGCGAAGACGCTGCCCTGTCTTCCGAAGTTCAGGAACAACATCAACTTACCTGAAGAATACCAGAAGACAACAGACGGCGAAGACTTCCTCCTCCACACAGAAAACTACAACAAATTGATGATCTTTGCCACTTTGGACAACCTGAGACAACTAGCAGCAGCGGATACATACTTATGTGATGGTACTTTCAGCAGCTGTCCATCACTCTTTTATCAGATGTACACCATTCATGCATCTGTACACAACAAGATTGTTCCACTGGTCTACGCTCTGCTACCAGACAAGAAACAGTCGACTTACATGCAACTATTCACCATCATAAATGAGAAGGCTGCACAATACAACATCAATCTGCGCCCTGGTGTGATGCTGCCCTGAACGCCACTGCCAGCGTCTTCGACTGCCAACTAAAGGGCTGCATATTCCATTTTCGACAGGCAATCTGGTAGGAGCACAGAGATCCGGTCTGCAGGTAAATATACATGTAACCATACTGGTATACTACATTAAAACCAACGTATATATTCAATATTCCTTTATGGCACTATTCAAATGTACAAGCATTGGAAAGAAGTAATTATACATTGTAAATGATTCATACTGTTTTGCAGCACTGTGAACTAATTTATCTATTTATTAATTTCAGGTGGCTTTTGCAGAAAATCCAATGGTTTAAAATTTGATTGTCCGCAGAGCAGCAGCTCTTCCACTGGTACGACAAAGAGACATAGACGATTACTGGCTGAATGCTCTAGAAGAATCTGATTTGGAATATCCCGGAGTACGCGAGTTTACCGATTACGTGACTGAGCAGTGGGTGGAAGGAGGTGAGCGAGATATGTGGAACCATTTTCAGACAACTGGCCCACGCACAACCAACAACGTTGAAGGGTGGCATTCGAAAATGAACAAACTGGTAACCAGCCACCCCAACATATTTCGTTTTATCCATCTAATCAAGCAAGAACAGGCATTCGTCGCTGTAACTCTGAAACAGCTTGCTGCTGGTGCCTCTAGCAAACCCAGAAAAAGGAAGTACCGGCACTTGGAAGACAGACTGGTAACTAAAAAGCGGTGCCTCCATGAAGGGCATCACACCGTCATCGAGTACGGGGATGCTGTCTCCCATTTAGTTGGATTGTAAGATGTATTTTGTTGAAGATGTATTATTAATAGGAAAATGTTTGATTAAATAAAATGTTTAAATGATAACTTGTACATTATATGCTAACAAATTTAAATATTGTATTTTAGTATATTAATGTGTAAAAAAAGGTAGATTTAAAATGGAATAAAATATTAACTTAAACTGTTAATCCTCTGGTAAACCCTTAACCCTTAATCCTAACTAATCCCCACTGTTTTATCGTTAATTATTTGATTAATCCCTAAACAATAAAACTGGCACAGTGGGAGTAAATCATTTTATTGACAAATTTAAACCCAAATTAAACATTTCAAAATAATTACTTATTGTTATTGTATATCTTGACAAGCTCAGACGAAACATGTAGACAATTAAACAATAGTACTTTCTTTAGATATTTTTAACTTTATATTTATATATATATATATATTTTAAAAAAGAAAAATGTATAAAAGATCTAATTCTCAACGCATTAAAATGGCCTGACGATTCGTTTGATAACGATGAAAGTACTAGCCAAAAAAATTAATTTTTAGTGTTTTTTTCTCTAATATTCGAATTAACAGTCGCCTGACGGGGTTTCGATTCCCGGGTTGTACGTGACGAGGAGTAGGGTCGCCTGTCCAACCTCGTGGAATTATTGAATTAAAATTGAACCATGTTATAGTCCCGAAATGACCTAGTTTGTGTCGAGTCGACGTTAAACCTCTCTCTCCAACTACACCAACTTAAATTTTAAATCACCATCAAAAAACTACACAGTTCGATTGTTAATGTATTATTAATAATTCAAAAATATCTTTTCTTCGTACATTGTTCAACATACATTATGATGCGCAATATATTCATTTCTCTATGAGACTAACAATATTATATGCCATTATAAACAAACCGATGTCCGCTGGTACTGGGTGTAGAAAAGAAATCAATGTTCATGTTTATATCAGGCTCAACTTTAAACAATTCGTGTCAAACGTCGATCTTTTCATATCCAGGCAAACTTGTATTTTAATTGTCACTGTAGTATTATAAACAGTAGTATTAAGAAATTTGAGGGCGTGCAACATATTGTTAAAAAAATAATAATAACTAAGCGTTTGCGCATGCGTACACATGTTAAATTTAATGGCCATTTGCGTGTACAAAAGAAAACGAAGAGTCCCAAACACGGAAATTAAAAAATTTGCTTCACTAGTTTCAGATCAATTTGTTGAGATTTTAATGTGACCAGGGACCTTAACTCTTTGTGACAAAAAAAACCCTGCCGCTGCAACGCGGCATGGTTGGTCAAAATTTCAACACGATGAAAACAAAGTTTGAAAAGGTTAAATCACTCAAAAATCTCACTTAGCAATACTTTAATTGTTCATGAATAATATAATGTTTTTAAATGTAAGTCTTATCATGTATGGTAAAATAAGCCTCAAATATAGTTTGTTTATTGCATATTTTTCTGTACGTGGATCACTCTATATTGCTATAAATACTAATAGATAGACATCGCACGTGAAATTTTCTACACATCTATCAACTCTTAAAGCCGTAAAAATCTATTGTTTACAGTAATATTAATTTATATTTTTTTTTTGTTACATCGGCTTTAGAAAATTCCGTTCATTTTTTTTAAAATTTGCTTTATTATTAACAGTTATTAGTACTGAAAGGCGTTTGATAAAAAAGACATCAAGCAAACCCAGTTCCGCATAGAATCGTTGCCTGTACCCTTGTCAGGGGTGCAGGACGGAGGGACTGACAAGGCAGCTGTCTAGTCGTTCGGATAGGACGAAAACCCGAGTTACCGTGTACACATTGACTCCTTGGCATTTGGAATTCGATATAAGAGTAGGCCGTAGCACCGCGGTCCGGGCAAAATTTCCGTCATAGCACACTGTACGGCGTTTGCCCGTCTTTATTAGCCCCAGTCAGGGCAGACAGTAGTCACAGCACCCCCCCCCCCCCAGGTTTTTTTTATCAATTATTGTCCAATGTTTTAGGAAAGGCACCATTGGTTGCAACAATCTGAATATATCCAACTACAACTTCCGTAGAATTGAGGAGAGGATGGAATAGATTGGGTGATGAAAACAGACAATCTCCGTCAAAACCCCGGACTATTGCCTCAGGAGTATGGTATTTCCCTGATGTAACACCCACTCTAATCTGTTTTTGTTACAGCTGAATGTGATCCTGATGAAACATGGTGTAGTCAAATCGAAAAACTCCATTGTAATAGCTCCATAAGAGTTAAAACCCCGGATTATTGCCTCAGGAATATGGTATTTCTGTTTTTGTTACAGTTGAATGTGATCCTGATAAAACATGGTGTAGTCTAATCGAACAACACCATTGTGATATTGTCAACAGCTATAAAAAAGACTGTGGTTTTAGGTGTGGTGTATGCAAGGGTAAGCATATTAATGTTTCAGCAGCCTTAAAAAAAAATGTCCTTATAAGTGCGGGGTATGCGAGGGTAAGCATATTTATGTCTCTTCTTATTTATTAAAGGGTGGGGGAGAGGGGTGGGGGTGGTAAGGCATGCGTGTTGTTATATCATAAGGTCTGCCATTCAGTCAAGTGGTTTAGATTCCCCACCTGTACGTGAATAGGAGTAGAGTGACTGTCCAGAATCGGGGGTTCCTCCAAAAGTTAAAGACCCCCGCGCACAAGCGTAATATTCAGATAAAATTGAACCATATTTTAGTCCCGAAATAACCTTGTTGCTGCAGGGGAGTGTACGTTAAACCGCATTTCTCTATCTCTTATTTATCAAGTGTAGAGTCGAACAGGCAGGGGTCGGAGGAAGGGGGCTCTCGACTATAAAATATCGCGGGTTCGAATCCCGGTATGGATTTAGAAGAACCCTCGGGATTATTCTTGTTCGGGTCTTTCTTGTCAGGGATGTCGTCCGTGGGGTGGACAATGAAAGCGGTCCATCTGGATATTTATTGACGTTGTACGTGACAAGGAGTAGGGTCGCCTGTCCAACCTCCGGTTTCCTCCCACTGCTAAAGACCCCTACGCGCAGGCGAATGATTGAAATAAAATTGAAGTATGCACACGTCGTTAATACGTGTACTCGTCGTGGAAATAAAAACAAACCTACTAAAACACTATTTTAATTTTAACTCTGCAAAATTAATCATCTTTCCGGACAGTATTAGACCTGAACTTTATTTTCATAATTTTAAAATCCTTCATACATGCGGGAATTAGAAGTATTAAGCAAAACCAAACAACGAAAGTATTGAAATCGATCGTTTCACAATTTTCAACTGCTGCATTTGGAAATTTCAAAGTTCTAAATTGGAGAAATTCGTCACTACTGAGGAATACTTATCAGGTTGAAAAATTACGGTGTAACTATAAGAATACCGTAAATTCTAAGGAGTTCGAGAAATTAATCTGTATAAAATCCCGCATTGTCAAAAATCACAACGCTTGATTGAGATCTTGCCCTGTCTTGCGCGAGCGGCAGAGAAATCAACCAATGGTACTCGTTGCCTGAAGTTGTCAATGGGGGTGCTCCATTGTCAGTTCAGAAGGTTCCGAATTGACAGAATTGCAATCAAGTGATACGGAATTCAGTCCTGTCACAGTTTTGCCAATACCAACACCTGAGGTGGTGTGTGTAGAATCGTAACGTATTTTAAGTAACAAATATGTTTCAGCTGCCATGATTGGTTGAGATATTTTTTATGCAGTCTAAGTGTTGGGTGCTAAGTTTTATTGCTTAATGATGTTTTACTACCTCTAGTCTCTGGTGTTATTATATTAGAGATCATATTATTGTTCGTTTATTACGTGTGTGTCAGTTTACCAGATGTTATATATCGTTGCTGATCGTGTACACGTGTGGGTATGTGTCGACCATAATTTGAGTTTCTTCTGAAAGTGGTTTTATTTTATAAGGGGAGACTGTGTACAAGGCGACATTGCAGTCGTATTTCGTTCAATTATTGGAGATCCTGGTCAAGAACTTGGGAAGGGATTCCTTATAGTCACTTTTTACCATCCGAAGAGCGTTGTGATCCCAGGCGAGCTTAGAAAAAATCCCTCCCTAGATAACAGATCAGTAGCCGAGGTTCCACAAGTGAGTCTTTGTGGATACAACCATTGGACGCTACACTAGCAACCTGCTGTATTTACAATAATCAAATACAATCTCTATCAAAACGAACATTTATGTTAATACATAATATACAAACAAATCTCCATTATATTATTTTAAACAATTTACATTAATTCCCCTTTATACGAAATCAGTGTTGCCCTGTCAACTACTTCTTTAATGCGTTCGAGTTAATTTTGGAAGGCATCAGTTTCCTATGCTTTCCACAAATTAAGTCACGTAAGATTAAACTTTCCCACTAGTGCTGTACAGAAGATCGATTCTCAAAATAATGTAGTCTATTTTGGATGATATAAACTAGAAAATAATTGTTTCTATTTTGATTACAAATCGTATAGACGCCTACTAGATACAACAATGTGCACCGTCTTATGCTGTCCTGGTGCTTGGTGTAAGATACAAGCACATATTTTCGACTGATACTAAGAACTTGACTAAATTGTTCCAATGGCATTAATAGTAACTGAACTGGAGTATACAGGTCACAATTACTGATTATTACTGAGCGACGTTTTTTTACTTGGTTTCTCTGTATTGTGTAGTTATATTTTATATTTTATCATTGCTTTATAAAGACTAGAAACATCTAGTCAAAACGTCGCTCGATAAGCAGTAATTACATTCCATAGAATGGTCACATGTAAATAAGAATATAACTCTGTCACTGTAATCAGATCACGAAAGCCTTGACGAATACTCTTTATATAGGAGTTTTTGTACAATCGCGTGGAAATGAAATGAAATGAGGATTAAAGGACAATATTGGTGCCAGCCAGTCATTATCACATATTGGCACATCGATATAAAATTGGTAGATCACTGAGTTTACTGTGGTCTGAACCCAAAAAAATCAATAATCATAGTTATCCCCCTTAGTGCATTAATTGTAAAATGAAAAGAGGCTTAAAGGACAATATTGGTGCCAGCCAGTCATTATTACATATGTGATAGAACTGGTTAAACACGTTCCACATATAATTTTATCACAGAGATCATTGCTACGATAGATTCGTAATCAATGTTTCAACAATCGGAAGTGACGAACGCAAAAGGAAAACACGAGTTATCCCTCTATATAAATGACTGAAGTGACGGGTGATAACAGATACATGGGCGAATTTCTACTCACTAATAATTCCTTCGAAGACGAACAGTTATTGTGTGAGACTGTGAAAGGATATCTGACAATTCATGAAAAAATTGACTGTCACTAGATAAGAGAACATGGAAGAAAAATACGAAAAGTCCGTGCATTACCATGTTTTTATAAGTATAGAATGAATAAACACAAAGGAATGTACGGACTATATCTTTTTCTCTCGTGTTCTCTTATCTAATGACATTCAATTACTTTTTTCAATTACGTTTTGGGAAAAACACGGACATTTTTCAGCAAAGACTGGGATCGATCCGAAGAAATCCTGGTTAGTGAGCTTGCGTCTTATTCCGTGATCCACGGTGAACCCCGGTCGATAAGGAGAGAAGGTTAGATCTAATCGAGAGAGAGAGAGAGAGAGAGAGAGAGAGGGGTAATTATTTTATCACAGAGATCATTAATCGCTTGGATAGATGCGTAATCAATCTTTCAACTACCGGGAGTGACGAACGTAAAAGGAAAACACGAGTTACCCCCTATATAACTGACTGAAGTGACGAGTGCTCACTAATAATTCCTTTGAAGACCAAAAGTTGGTGCGGTAAAGTGGTTAAACTATTTTATTTCATTCTATTTCAAATGTACAAATGATCCATACAGCAGAAGTCCCCATTTTGGAACTTGTTCCCACTCCGCTAGAAGATTCCAATTAATATCCGCATTGTTACCAATCATCTTTTTTTATTTATTTTAGCCGATTAATTCACCAGATGATGTGTGTGAACAACTCCAAGCTGTCTTATGTTTGTCTCGGAACATAAATTATCATAAATATATTCTTATTACTAAATTTTAAATTTCAATCAGTATTTCTTTTATTCAAAATGTATATCTATCCTACATTAAAGTTACAAAAGGACATTATTATATAAATTTCAACTAATAACCAATGACTGTAATTGGTCATCCCACACGTTTTATGTTTAATAAAATTTTATCAGCAGCAATATTGTTTGTCTTGTGTGGAGAGGGTGGGACCGGTCGTCTCTTGTACTGAAAAGTTTATATACTAAACAGCCCCTCCCCCCCCCCCAAAAAAAAATAACAACAAAAAAACAAACCCGTCAGTACGATTTTAAAATCAGAGAGGCACTTTAATCAAACCATTCTAGTAAACGACTTACTAAATGGATCAAGGCAATTTTTTGTGAACAACATTAGTGATTAATTCATCACCATTCCGAGACATTACGAGAAGGTTTAGAGTCTGTGCACAGTCTATATATCAGTATCTGGTGTGTCCACCGCGAGTGCCAATAACAGCAGCTCAGCGTCTGTACATGGAGGGGACCAAAAGATTGATGAACACCATTGGCACCTGGAACCACACTCTAAGAAAAGCCTGGCCCAATCGATCGGCTGTGTTTGGTCTCGGTACGACTTTATTAAGTCTTCTCTGAATTTCATCCCAATGATGTTCAATCGGGTTTAAGTCCTGACTAAGGGCTGGCCAGTGCATAACGGGGGTTTTCCAATAGGGGCCTACCTGGATGAAGACCGGGGCGGACCTTCTGTTTAGGGAGGCAGCGCATTATACTTACTGCTTGGTCATGCCGAATTTGAATCAAATCTGTTAATAATATCGACCTGTATAGTATTTACAGAAAAAATATTAACAACAATGTGTATTATCACCGCGCCTGTGCGTCTGAAATGCACTAAAATCTATAGTTGCCGTCCTTGGGGCATAAGGAAAACGTATGCTATGTTCTAAGTTAATTCATTCCGAATTGCACCCTGTAGGCAATACACACAATAAATTCGACGTTGTACCACTCTGGAGGATCGGGCATGCATCAAAATCTATAGTTGCCGTCCTTGGGATATTAGGAAAACGTATGCTATGTTCCAAGTTAATCCATTCAGAATTGCACCCTGTAGGCAATACACACAATAAATTCGAAGTTGTACCACTCTGGTGGTCGTGCACCCATCAAAATTTATAGTTGCCGTACTTCGGGTATAAGGAAAAAGTTTGCAAACAATTGCGCCCTGTAGGCTATACACAAAAAATGGACGTGGCATCACTCTGGGGTCGGGCATTCATCAGGTGCCGTAATTAGGTTATAAAGAATAGGCATGCCACATAACTATGAAAGTAACGTGAAATACATCTAAATAGTAGGAGCAAACTGCACAGGCACATAATGAGATGAACATATTTTGGCCAATAATAGAAAGATATTATTGGGGTAGCCGTATATCCAATGTGTGAATTTAATTACATGCATTTAAGAGTGAGGGGGGGGGGGTATAATAAATCTATCCTGTTTTACTGTAAATAGAAGCTTTAAATAACCTCCATTGAGAACGTTGTTTCTTTTCCAAAACCTCATAGGATCAGTAAATTTTATTTTGTTTCTCTAAAAACATTTTTTTTTTATTTCATAAATGTTTGGTAGATGATTAGTTCGCAATGTGGAATTTTAGGATCAATGGACGATAAGATAAATTTAGACATGTCCGTGGTTATTATTTCTTGATTAATTTGTGTCCTCTTCACATCTCCATATAATAGTCATTATTCATTTCCCGTCAGTTAAAAAGGCTTTGTCTCAAATGAGTTGAAAACAATTAATTTACATAGTACTGACAATAAAAGTTTTATTGTTCAACTGACAAATTACCCAACACTTATGATTATTTTGCCTCGTTGGCTTTTATCCTTTCACAATGAGAATATGCTCAAAATTGTAATTTTACCGATATATAGAATTTCAACAATCTCATTAAACCACAGATCCTATTTTGTTTCGTTTTTATAGTGCAAAATTTCGTTTTACTTGTCTTTACTACACCGATCTAGAAGAGCTGTTATATAATCCGCGTTCTGGATGATTTGAGGGATTAGCCAATGAAACGGTCTGTTACTGCGAGTTTTTGCGGGGTGAGGTGCACGGAACTTTGGGTAAACCACTAGAAACGTCAATGCTGCTTGATTAATCAATGCCTGACGTCATAAGGTCAAAAGCTGCTCGTATGACCATGGAAAGTATAAAAAAACAAAGATGATCTGTATTTTAATCAGAGTGTAATTTTAAGTAAGACAATTAAAGTTTTTTTTTATTATTTCTCGAATATGAAAACCTTAATCTCACAATTCTACATGGACAGACCAATATTATCTTACATACTGCAGACCTTTATACACAAAGTTATAAAATGACACGGAAGTAAAACACATTGTAATATTTTTATTGTATCCCTGTTCCAGAATATCTACATTACACACACTGCATAACAATTGAACGTTCTATTACTATAGATAGGCCTATTTTTACAGACAAAATATTATCAACAATGCAGATGTATGACAGCGCTGAACAATGATTTCACTAAATCAATATATTATATTATTATGTAAATTTTATTGACAGTATGTTATTATAACATTAGAATACTGCAATAATCCATTATATCGTTTGACCGTATGTTTCCTTAAATGAAGGTATATTATATTTTTCTAAATATATGTAAGATTGACCTTACAATGATTTAAATCACATGCGTCTCATAGAAATCTATTTGATGGGTTTATCCCCCGCCCGCCTCCCTTTTCGGGTATCTTTTCTTGAAGTATATTGCAATAATTTTTATATTTTTATAGCAATAATTAAAATTTCAAATATCGTCCAGCCCTAAAAAAAAAAAAAAAACAAACAAAAAGACCCCCCTCCCCCCCCCCCCCCCACACACATAAACCATAGCATGTTAATTGATCGGTATTTATTCAATTTGTAGAGTAAGCAGGCTACAACGAAAAAAGAAATATAATATACACCGTTCTTACGCATCTTGATCAGATTTACGATTTTTTTTATTCATTCACGGTGTTGATATTTACAATATTGCACATTTAACAACAAACGTTTACAGTTATAGCATAAAATGAAATGGGGTTTAACGTCCTACTGTTCTGCTCCAAACTGGACTAATGAAGACGAGCATACGCCATACAGTGTGCTACGAGGGAAATTTTGCCCGGGAAGCGGCACTATGGCCTACTCTTATATCGAATTCCAACTGCCAAGGGGTCTTTTACATGCACGCCAATGTATACACGGGTCTATCGGGTTTTCGTCCCATCCGAAAGACTAGACAGCTGTGCTTGTCAGCCCCTCCATCCTGCACCACTGACAAGGGGAAACCACGTCGGAAAATCCCGATAGCCATATATTAAAATATAAGATTATAATAATTTTCACATTTAATAACTTAATATTATTATATACATGTAGATGTACATGTAGAATTTCCTATCGAGAATTAAAACCTAGACTTATTAGGTCTTATTATCGAGAGCGTCAGTGCATGGTCTAGTTAGTATTATTGACGTCATTGGGGATCGCCTAGCCAAACTCGCGGGGTTTTCTCCGTTACAAGTATTACGCCCAAGCAAATTCTTGAAAAAATTGAATGATATGTTAGTCCCGAAATAACATAGAAATAACTCATTCATTTAGTGTTTAAGATATTGATAAAAGTATGATAAAACAGAATATATATCTGATAGAACAAACCCACCAAGGGAGATAACTATAACAACATTTCCGAAATATCCACAATAAACCGCGGAAGGTCGTGTGTCATCTGCGCTGGTTTTCTTTCTTCTGGTGCTAGATAGCTTCTCAACAGCAACAGTTAGGTTCTTTTTAATATCCACTTTAAACTGCTTTATAATTTCGATTTCCCCTGGCCCTAGAGATAACAGGGGACAATTATGGAAGCCTATTGCGGCCATTTCAGAATCTCGTGTTCTCGCCACGAGAAGTCGAGGGAGAGAACACGAGAATATTAGGGCGAAAACACGAGAAGTCGAGGTCGAGAACACGAGAAAATAGGGCGAGAATACGAGGATCTCGCCCCGTGGACACGAGATTACTTTCACCTCGACTTCTCGTTCCCTCGTCCCTAGACTTCTCGCTCCCTCGTGTTCTCGCCTTTGAAAATCTCGTGTTCTCGCACTCCACTTCTCGTCTTCTCGCCCTCGACTTCTCGTGTTCTCGCCTTTGAAAAACCTTGTGTTCTCGCTCCCTCGCCTTTGAGTCAATCTCGTGTTCTCGCTTTGTCACAATCTCGACTTCTCGTGTTCTCGCCTCGGAAGTGCAGTGTATACGCATGTCCACTGACTACCGTATCGGCATTTATATTTGGACATGAATTATATACGGAAATGTATGAAGGTCTGGAAAATTTAATAGTCCTAATTAAACAATTTTAATCTCTTCTTGCACATACTATAGCGCAACATTTCATTCATGCATTCCAACGCCGGGATAAAACGCACAGGAATTCGAGCCACGGTTGTTCAAAGTCAAGTTTGGCGTGAGGTCTGGAGGATGATTACCTACGTACAGGGTTAGAACGGTTAGAGTCGAGAATGTATGTGTCGGGGATATGTGTGGGTGGGGAGGGGGAGTGGGGGAGGAAACGGTTGTATTTGGTAACACATAAATACCTGCTAGAAGGATGAGCCAGTAGACACCACTGTATTGTTCCATCACCATGGTTACATCATAAACTAATTTCTGTAGATTCCATAATAATCCTGACAACAAATAAGTAATATTCGTTAAAAATAGAAGCGGGTCTTTTGTCTGGTTTGAAATCTTAAATAAATTATTATTTAGACATTTAATTTATTCACATGACAGCCTATAATAAATTCGATAGACCATAGGATGGCCGAGATTTAAATGGATTTGACACACTTGGTTGTCAAGTATCAATGCTGCGATTATACACATTCTACGCTACATCTTCAAACAGTAACAACTACGCCAAAAATAACGTAATTGGCATGATAAATAGTCATGGACACTGGACATGCTTTGGGAGTATGTTCACAGACGAGAGCTTATCGCCCCAACAGAACCACTGAGCTGCACATGCGACACACAATAGAGCCATACACGTGGGAGGAGTTCATTGTCAAATTTGACACTCCAAGGAAGAGTTGATGGTTTATCTATTCATGTTTGCTTTCCTATCGGTTCTTGCATACGATTTACTGTTTAGCGTATCTTGCTTTAGTGTGTTACGTTTAATTTGATCGGGAATTGGCCGTGGCACTGCAAGAGGAGTGTGTCAGATTGCCCCAAATCGTAATTGGACGGTTGATTAGGAGCATGCCACGACGAATTACTGAATGTCTGAGGATTGGTGGAGCAGTGAAATGGGGCCGTCAGATAAGCCGCCCATATAAACTGTTTATGTTCATGTGAAGGCAATTGACCTGTTATTAACATACACTGGTTACCTCTAATAAAAACAGCAGTGCATTTCTGCAGTTTTGTATTGTTTCTGAATATCCCCTACTTTTTTGGAGAGTATATATGAAATTTATAGTGAAACCATTTACATAGATTAATTAACAAAACGAATCAAAAGGGTAAAGGATTTTTAACAAAAAGCAAGCACAAGGTAATTAGCTCACTGTATAAACATTAAGACTTGCGGTTATTGACTAGGTATGATGCCCTTCAAAGGGGGGGGGGGCATTGAATATATAGGGTGTAGCTGATAATAAGATAGTGAGGCCATAACATATGCATTTATAACTACAAATAAGACAATCCACAATATAAGTTAACTAAATTAGCAAAATGGGAAAATACCATAATTAATTTATATTATGCATCTTAATTACATCATCATATGCCCTAGAGATGTACAGTCCTAAGTCCCTATTAAGTTCAGGTGAATATCTTCTCTTATTTATAGCTTTTAGGATCTGCCTGGTTTTCTTGTTCTGTTGGTTAGCAGTGAGTATCTGGACCTCATTCCATTTAACTCTTTGCTGTGAGTGATTCTGGGGATATTCCGCTATGGCTGATCTATTAGTGGCAGCTTTGGACCCATGTTCTGTTATTCTTTTGTCAATGGATTGTTTCGTTTCCCCAATATGTGATTGATTGCAGAAGCAAATCACTTGATAGACGACTCCTTTAAGTTGAATAGGGAGGATTGGTTGTAGCTTGCCATTGGCTTTGAGTATCTGTTTCAGAGTGGTAGGAGCCGAGAATGTGGTTTCGATTTCTTTAGTGGTTTGACCATTTTGTATGTAAGATTACCATATAAAGGCAATGTTATTCTGATTGGCGTAGATGGTCCAATTCTTTTTGCAGGAATTTAGGTTCACAAATATTAATTGATCTGCGTGCTAGGGTTGATATAAGGGCTCTTTTGATGTAGTGGGGATGACCGGAGTTGTACTTAATATATTGGTTTGTGTGTGTCGGTTTGCGGTATATTTTTGTATTCATTTGATTATTAACATTTATAACTTGTACATCAAAGAATGGTAGTCTCGTCTTTTTCTGTTTCAATAGTAAATTTAATTTTGGGATGTTGTTTGTTCAGATGATCTAGTAGGGAGACTGGATCATCATTTTCCTCAAGCACAACAAATGTATCATCGACCTGGCGCAGCCAACAAATTGGGGTAATGGGAGAGGTTCTTAGCGCAGACTTGTTGACTTGTTTGTATATGTTGTCCCCCATAGGTAGAATCAATGCACATCGGAACTAATTCCAAGATGCTGTCAGTTGATAACCTGCTTTCTAGGTGTACCTCTAGTGCATTTATTCGGGAGCGGAGGACTTCAATGGCCTCTTGGCGGGGAACGTTGGTAAACAGGTCAACCACATCGTACGACGCAATTCTTCCAGGGCGGTTGAGGTGTCTGATTGTGTTGCAAAAACCACCAGAGTCTTTGAAAAAGGAAGTAGAGGAAGTTCTTAGTGGAGCATGTATTTAGCAACATTACAAATGTATTTTAAGAGTATATATCAAACTTAAAAGTGTAAATATGGTCTATAAATAGTACAAAAACATCGCAACTGAATACACGATTAATGTAATTTGCAATTTTAGTTTCTAAGAAGGTAAAATCACCATAATTAAAAAGTACGTGGTACCAAAATCTCGTAACACGTCACATTTGTATAGAAGCAACAGGGACGGGCGGGGTATTTAGGAGCGTGGTATTTAGCCACTGCCCAAAAATGGAACGAGAGTCGCCGGTTTAATCACCTCTACACGTTTTGTTTTTTCAGTTAATATTTTTTCGTTTGTGACTCAGCCATTACTAATTACTTCCACGTTGTCTTGTAGGATATGTACATGTATTTCTTTGTTCATTAATTACAAATTGCAGCCGAAATCATAGAATACGCGTCAAGCTCTCAGACCCCACGTCATACCACATTTTGGACGTCATCGAAACAACGTTTTCCAGCATGACAACGCCCGTGCCCACACTACCAGAGTTACTCGGGACTTTCTACGGCAGAACGGTGTCAACGTTATGCACTGGTCAGCCCTTAGTCCGGACTTAAACCCGATTGAACATCTTTGGGATGAAATTCAGACGAGACTTAACATCGTATCGTGACCAAACACAGCGGATGAAATGCGCCAGGCATTTCTGAGAGTGTGGTTCCAGGTGCCAATGGCGTTCATCAAACGTCTGGTCCACTCCATGTACAAACGCTGCGCTGCTGTTATTGACACTCGCGATGGACACAACATATACTGATGTATAGACTGTGTACAGACTCTAAACCTTCTTGTAATGTCTTGAAATTGTGATGAATTAATCAATAATGTGTCAACATACTTTTCACAAAAAATTGCTTTGATCCATTTCGTAAGACGTTTTCTAATATGATTTGATTAAAGTGCCTCTCTGATTTTGAAATAGCACTGACGTTTTTTTTTTGTTTTTTGTTTTTTATTTTGCTGTTTAGTATATATAAACTGGATATGATCAAGGCCAGCGCGACCTATTTGCCGAGCACAGGAAAATTTGATGTTTCTCGGACCGAGTCAAGCCGAGTGTAGATCTGCTATTGTACGGAGCGTGTCTGACAATCTGTAGATCGGACCGGGTCTGGTACTACGTTAATGACACAGATTTATAATTCGGATCGGATAGAACTAAAATACGATATCGTTTTACTGCACATGAAATATATCTTGACCATTAGCAGAATCATTGTTTAGAAACGATCAGCGTACTATGTAAACGTGTATACTGTTAATCTCTGTATCTAAATTCTATTCAGGTTTGTTTTGCGTCGTTATTAACAGGATATATTAAATGATTCTATTTCATATCATTCTAATAATGGCAGCAACTAATTTGATATTTTTCGATGATAGTGCACCTGTACATGTCTGTGTGTCAATTTATCCCTCTAACTAAATCTTATATAATTTATTGTGTTTTGTAGCTTATGGGTGGCTAAGTGGGTGAGACACTGGCTCGCTAGTCTGGAGGTCGTGTGTTCGATCCCTGCATTGGCCGAGAAAGTCCATCAAGATTTTCCGACGTTTTCTCCCCTTTGTCTGTGGTGCAGAGAGTCTGACAGGGGCAGCTGTCTAGTTGTTCGGATGGTACGAAAAACTGAGGTCCCGTTTATACATTGGCGGGCACGTAAAAGATCACCTGGCAGTTGGAATTCGATATAAGAGTAGGCCTTAGTGCCGCTTCCAGGAAGACATTTTCCTCATAGCACACTGCATGGCCCGTCTTCATTAGCCCATTCGGAGCAGAACAGTAAGACTTTAAACCCCATTCCATTTAACATGTTTATTAACAAACGAGACTCATTTGAATAATAATTAAAACATATTTAAATCGGGCGATAAGGCGAATATTAAAATGAGAAAAAGGCTTTAGTCATCAAATAAACTGTTTTATTAGCAAAAAACAATCCTGCCGGTTGACTAATGAATGCAGGTGTGAAGTTATGTAACTGATTTTACTATAAATATGACGCCAATAATCAACAAACTCCAGTCGTAGCAGACAGATTCCTGACGTTACAACGTTTACAACTTGAAGCAAAACAGAATCCTTGAGTTACAGTACTTTAAAGTTGGTAAAATGTTGCGAATTATTTTGGCATTTTGTTTGTGTTTTCAAGCAGTCATCATTTCAGCTGACACAGCGGAAGGGCAACGTAAGTTTTAAATATTTTAGTAATTGTCAGAATATACAAAAATGTCGCCATTGATCAATATTTATTAAAGATGTATTATGTAAGAGCTAAAACTGGCCATTGTATGTTTTTTATTTTGGTTTCGAAAGTTATATAAACTATTATATAGACATTTATTTACATGTCAAACTTATAAACAACCCTCTAGATCATCGGATGTCGCCATTAATCAGATTTTGCTTAATGTTGACTATTTATTTATTTATTTATTTATTCTTCAAGTAAAGGTTACAACATGACAATAAATTAATGTAGTATAATAAGAACTAGTGTCGCATTACACGACTGGGAAAGTGACAACAATAAATACAGATATGTATATGAAAATAAGAACTATGTGCTACATTGTAATGTAGGATGCCAGATGAGACAAGCATAGAGAAATATGATAGCTATGGTGTCATGAAGAGACCTTTACTTAGGACAGCCCATAAAGCCTGACGTATATAACATCCGTTGCTTATTTCCAATGGGGTCCAAAGTTGCCAAGGTCGCGTCAGGTCATCATTGGGAGGCAAAATTTAATAAACATGCCATCACAGCATTGTATCACAAATAATAAAATATATTTATGTCTACATGTTATACATCAACCAATTTTATTAATAGTAGATTATCAAACTTGTAGTATCACAGATTAACATTGTATTAACAATAAATACTTCTTGGCTGCAGCTTTAAAGCTGTAAAGTGAATCTAAAGACTTAATATCATTCGGTAAATCGTTCCAGACACTTATGGCGGTATAATAAAATGATGTGAGCTGATCTCTACCCGAGCATTTTGGAACCGCAAAATTGAATAAACTAGATCTTGTGCCATATTGATGAGTATCTCTAACACATTTGAATTTTGATTTAAGGTATAATGGACAATTATTATGAAAAATCTTATGTACGTGATTGAGTTTTAACTCGGTTTTCAACATTAAGTATATTCAAATCAGAATATGAAACATGATCTCTACGTCCTAGCCCATTCACAAATCTAAGAACCTTATTTTGAACAATTTATTTTTAAGTGATTGATTCACACCAGAATACCAGGCTGAGCATGCATAATCAAAGTGGCACTGAATAAGTGCAGAACAAAGTAAATTTTTTGTTTTTTTGCTAAGGCATTTATTATAGCGAAACAGAAATTTCAATCTTGAATTTGCTTTCTTAATAATGCTGTTAACAGTGTCCTCACCAGACAAGTATTTGTCAAAACGTAGACCCAAATATTTAAGGTTATCTGTTGCTTTTACGGTATGGTTATTGCAGGTTATTGTAAACTCTTTAATACTTCTTAGTTTACGTTTAGGCCCGAAGAGAATACACTCGGTTTTACCGAGATGGAGCGACAGTTTATTATCGATGAGCCATTCTGAACAGGAATCAAGAGCACAGCCAAGTGTTTGTGAACTTCAACTTAATCCAGTTTAATGCGTTAAATCGCCATTTGCATTTTTTTTTTTTAGAAAATATCTAATTTTTCACATTTTAATTCACTCTAATGCACTCAAATTGGTTATTGCTCGCTTAATTATAAAAAAAACCCCTCTTAAAATAGATAATCTCCTGGCTTGAATTCAGTCGTATTAAAAAGAGGTTAATCAAAGATTATGTCTGGCACCGACTTGTTTTGACTATTTCCGGTTTACAATGATTATGTGTCTGCAGGGCTAAATCTATTTGATAAGGCTAGCTCAATTTTCATCATTTTGTCAAGGTCGCTGAGATGTAAATAAAGTTAGGGCACGTGTTTGTTGGCGGGCTTGTAGGTATAAAAATGTGGGGGAGAGGTTGAGTCGCCACATTAGCACTGACCTAGGATGATGAAAATTTGGTTCGTGATATTTCCTAGTTTTATTAAAAATACATAATATAATACATTAGATTTATATACAAAGCTGATTTCGCTGGTTTTTTTGGTGTTGGTGACGCTGATGATCTTCCTTAGCTGTCGCTTGTGGTATTCTGGTATTTTTGTTTCTGAAGAAAAAAGAATAAATTTGAGGCTCTCGGCTGAGAGCCACATTATTGTGTTTCCTACTAAGGAACAATTTATTTTTAAGTGATTGATTCACACCAGAATACCAGGCTGAGCATGCATAATCAAAGTGGCACTGAATAAGTGCAGAACAAAGTAAATTTTTTGTTTTTTTGCTAAGGCATTTATTATAGCGAAACAGAAATTTCAATCTTGAATTTGCTTTCTTAATAATGCTGTTAACAGTGTCCTCACCAGACAAGTATTTGTCAAAACGTAGACCCAAATATTTAAGGTTATCTGTTGCTTTTACGGTATGGTTATTGCAGGTTATTGTAAACTCTTTAATACTTCTTAGTTTACGTTTAGGCCCGAAGAGAATACACTCGGTTTTACCGAGATGGAGCGACAGTTTATTATCGATGAGCCATTCTGAACAGGAATCAAGAGCACAGCCAAGTGTTTGTGAACTTCAACTTAATCCAGTTTAATGCGTTAAATCGCCATTTGCATTTTTTTTTTTTTAGAAAATATCTAATTTTTCACATTTTAATTCACTCTAATGCACTCAAATTGGTTATTGCTCGCTTAATTATAAAAAAAAACCCTCTTAAAATAGATAATCTCCTGGCTTGAATTCAGTCGTATTAAAAAGAGGTTAATCAAAGATTATGTCTGGCACCGACTTGTTTTGACTATTTCCGGTTTACAATGATTATGTGTCTGCAGGGCTAAATCTATTTGATAAGGCTAGCTCAATTTTCATCATTTTGTCAAGGTCGCTGAGATGTAAATAAAGTTAGGGCACGTGTTTGTTGGCGGGCTTGTAGGTATAAAAATGTGGGGGAGAGGTTGAGTCGCCACATTAGCACTGACCTAGGATGATGAAAATTTGGTTCGTGATATTTCCTAGTTTTATTAAAAATACATAATATAATACATTAGATTTATATACAAAGCTGATTTCGCTGGTTTTTTTGGTGTTGGTGACGCTGATGATCTTCCTTAGCTGTCGCTTGTGGTATTCTGGTATTTTTGTTTCTGAAGAAAAAAGAATAAATTTGAGGCTCTCGGCTGAGAGCCACATTATTGTGTTTCCTACTAAGGATTGGATTTTCAGGGCAGTGGTTCTCATCCCTTTTTTTGCCAACAGCACAACTTGGAACAAATGAAAAAATAACGGTACACCTGGCTAAATATATAATATGAAAAATATTTGAATTTTGCAAAATAAAAAGATGGTAAGTCAGACAAAATATAACCGTAGACAGATTAGTCCTAGACACCAGTGAATACTCAGCTGGGATCACGTGTTTTCTTCACATTTTCTTAGTGTGCCGTTCAAAATTTCGTGACACGCTTAGGAAGAGGACTAGTGTTATTTAGTCCAAATTACTGTGCACTAAGTTGTTCAGATTTTTATTTTTAGAATATGCAATTATAAGTTTCTGCGTGAAAATTTCGGGTGATTTTCCTGGGGAACAGTATAGTGTTTTTTGATGATTTTAGATGCACTTGCTGCTGTTGCGCTATATGGAACTACAAAAGGGGCTATTGCGCTAGCCGTATGAATATCCAAACCTGGTGGGACAGTGTTTTTCAATTTGTCAATCCAGATCTTTTCTCTTGTTAGACTAAACACTTTAATTTCATTTGTAGTTTCAATATCGCTCTTAGTCTGTTCTATTGGCGTGACAATGAGATCAGAAATGTCTTGATTTGGTTGGTTGGGGTGAATTGAGACCGGTTTGTCATTTTTCGTGACTATGTCAAATCGGTGACCGCTAATTTTTTTCCCGAAGAGCATTTTGGGTTTCATGTATTGTTTGTCTACATGAAATATAAATTATATTTGAACCGCTGCATGAAAGTTGGTCTAATATTGGGAATTGTGTGCCAGATGTTTTGTTATGGAAATGGTCGGATATGTTTATGATTTAGCATGTTTGACATCTTGGCTATCCACAAGTTTTGGTTTTAACTGCTGATTGCATATTATTTGTTTCTTCGGCGGCAAGTTCAGCTAAAGTGTTGTTTTTTATACGTCGGAGATAGTGTTTGGAGTATCCCCTTCCTCGTAGTTTGCTAAATACCAGAGTACATATACTATGAAAACGGAGAATCTGAGATTGTATGATGCCGGAGAACGTATGTTTTGGGTGAAAGGACCTTTTGAACAATAATTGATATGTCTCAGTTTCTTTGAAAAATACTTTAGTTTCCAATTGGTGTTGCTACTTTTAAAAACAATAGTGTCAAGGAAATCTATGCTGATTTACATTTGCGGTTAACTTGACTGATGGATGATGATTGTTTAGGATATTGAAAAATGTCCAAAATAATCTGGTAATGTTTTATATAATCTGTTAATATTTTATATAATTTGTTGATATTTTATATAATCTGTTAATATTTTATATAATCTGTTGATATTTTATAATCTGTTAATATTTTATATAATCTGTTGATATTTTATAATCTGTTGATATTTTATAATCTGTTTATATTTTATATAATCTGTTGATATTTTATATAATTTGTTGATGTTTTATGTAATCTGTTGATATTTTATATAATTTGTAGATATTTTATATAATCTGTTGATATTTTATAATCTGTTGGTATTTTATATAATCTGTTGGGGGGGGGGGGTATGGCTGAATGGTTAGCGTGCGCGCGCTGTATCATAAAGTCTGTCATTGAGTCGACTGGCGTGGTTTCGAATCCCCGGTTGTACGTGGCAAGGAGTAGGGTCGCCTGTGCCTCGTGGGTTTTCTCCGGGTCCTCCGGTTTCCTCCCACTGCTAAAGACCCCTACGCGCAAGCGAATTATTGAAATAAAATTAAACCATATGTTAGTCCCGAAATTACCTAGTTTGTGTCGAGTGGACGTTAAACCCCATTTCTCTCTCTCTCTATAATCTGTTGATATTTTATATAATCTGTTGATATTTTATAATCTGTTGATAATTTATAATCTGTTAATAT